CGTGTTAGTTACTTCACTTATAACTCAAGAACGGCTGAACCGATTTGGCTGAAAATTGATGGGGAGGTATCTTACAACCGGGAGAAGGACATAGGATACTTTTTATCACTTTCCACGAGAAAAATGTGGTATATGTAAACGCAACTGACATGGAATGACAAAACGAAATTGACAGCAAAACAAAAAATTTATCAGTCAAAACATCAGTCTAGCCTTTCATTTGTTAAGATTGCATGTTTGTTTTTGGTTCGATTTACTTGAAATTGATTAAAAAATTCAATCTCTGTTGGGGGGGATGAGTGGTGAAGAGGAGTTGCAATGTTTAAATGGAACATATTATTTGTGATCAGATTTACTTGAAACTTTGTTTTAATGGTCTCTCATTTAATTTCTGAAAGATCTATCTCGACAATTTAAAAAAGGGAAAGGTGTTGCAATTTTTGTTTGGGACATACTTTATTTGTGGTTGAATTTACTTGAAACTTGGTATATATGCTGTTTGATATTATTAATCAAATGAAAAGAGGTTGCAACGTTTCCATGATATATATTTTATTTGTACTTGGATTTACTCGAAGGTTACTCATTGATGAAATTAAGCAAATACGTGTTTTGACAATTTTTAAAAATCAACCCTTCAGGATGAAATGTTGTTGCTACGTTTGTATTTGAAATCTAAGATGGCGACATTACATAAAATTAAAACGTTGTAAGGGTGAATTGGGAGTTAAAAGGTTTTATGGAGAAACAATATTAATTTCTGCGAGCGAAGCCGCGGGGAAAAGCTAGTATCTGTATAAAATCCACTAATTTTTCATATTCGAGAAGTTGTAGATTTTAAGTCGCTTTTGAAAATTCGAGTACCTGTTCAACAAATATCAACGTTTTAAGATCATAGAAAGTTAAAATCAAAATCAGTTGATCTGTTCGAGAATATTGTTGACGATAAGTTTCAAAAAATGTTTCTTTTTTCTTTTGAAACGAAATTTGAATTCTTAGTAAAATGGAGATTTGGTATTCACGTCAGCTATCTGTTTGTTCTTTACAAACGTTAACAAAACCTGTGGATCGTCGTATGAAAAAGTAATTTTAAACAATTATCGGATTTTTAAGCTCCAAACTCTTAAGAGCTCAATTACTCGTAAATGCATGTTTTCTATCAATTTGAGCTCGAAAATAAGCAAGAATTTCAGGGTTAAACGTTGTAAATATTTATCTCTATCAATTTTCCAAAAAAAATAAAATAGGTTACTCTATATTTAAAACCTTATGTCAGTAAAAAGGATTTTTAATTTCACATCGAACGGTATAAAGTCAAAATTAAGTTTCGGAAATTCGTGTTAAAACGGACAACCCAGATCGCATTTTTCTTGCCTTTAATAGTTTGCTATTTGGTCTCATTCTCATAGTGTCATAGTCAAATTTTTATAAATAAATTTTTAACTGTCCTTAGTTAATCATTTAATAAAGAAGTATTGAATTTTATCTTGCAAACACATTAACCTTTGACGCCAACTAATCGCGTGGCTAGAATTTAATCCAAGCAACCTCTATTCGTTATAAACGAGTCGCCTTTATTATTCTGAAATGAATAGAGACAGCTTTGAATAAATTGTAGAAATAAATAAAAGTAAATCAAAAATACTGGTAAGCACGGGAAGAAAAAGTAGGGAATGAGCGAATATAAAGATAGTATCTAGGAAGTTAGATATGTCAGAATGGAAAAAGTAGTAGGGATATAAAGCATAGGATAGTGTAGGGTCGAGTCGCTTTCAATAAAAATATGTCACTTCTGTGGTCGCGAATGGTTAATTTAGAAATTGGAAAAAGATTGTTAAAGGTGTATGTTTGGAACTCGGCACTGTACGGGTGCGAAACATGGATGCTGGGCGCGGCGGAAAAGAAAAGGTTAGAAGCATTCGAAATGTGATGTTACCGGCGAATGATGAGGATACCGTGGATAGAGAAGTTTAGAAATGAAGAGGTATTAGGAAGAATAGGAAAACAGAGGACTCTACGGAAGTCGATAAAAAATAAGCGAGATAGGTTGGTGGGACACCTTCTCAGACATGAAGGTCTAGTCAGAGACATATTAGAGGCATAAACAGGAGTTAAGAGGAGTAGACCTAGATTAGATTACTGTTCGCAAATAGCTAAGGATGTGGGATGTTCTAGTTTTAGGGAAATGCGAAGATTAGCTCAGGATAGGAAGGAGTGGAGCTGCGTGCCCAACCAGTCTTAGGACTGATGACCTTCTGATGATGATAAAGTAGAGTATTAAGTGATATTTTATATTATTTATTTATTTGTTGTTAAACGTGCAAAAATAAACCACTGAATATGACGAAAGAGAAAGGATAAAAAATCGAGAACTTTATTAGCAACAGATTTTTTTATTTAATATGTTGGGTACGATGACAGATTATAAGGCCTCTCATCTTTAGTTTGAAATTAAACAAAAAAATCGCTTAATTGTTTTATTTTATCAATAAACTGAAAAAAGACATTCAACTTTAACAACTTATTTAAGTTAATGCCTTGTATTCTGAAAGTTTATTAGATACTAAAACTGCTGAAACATGAGACTCCATAAGCTTACGTGTTAAATTTTCCTTTTTAAAAAAATATTATTCAAATTTTTACCAAGTTGTACGTTACAAACTTTTTTTTTGGTGTCCGGACAGTTGCGAAACCGACAAAAAGCAGAACCTGCTAAAATGCGGAACCATACGTTTTTACCTCTAATTATTTTTCAAGTATGTAATGATAACATATGCCTGTGTCCATAATTATTCCAGACCGATAGACCTGTGTTTTCGTTCTCTAACCATTCTTCTACAAGATAATCGAAAAACTCCTGTAGTTTTTGATGCTTACGCGCAGTTTCCAAAATTTTCAACCATCCTTCCGATACATCTTTTATAGACATGCAAATGTATAATCGGATATCAACATTTATGGCATAGATTGATGGTAGGCCAATTGATTCCACTTTTCGCCAAATGCATTGATAGAAGTGGTAGTTCCAGCCACTTATTCGAATATTTTTGAAGTAGTTTTTCAATAAAGATGTGGCAGCTGCTTCGAAGTCCACGTTTACTGTTTTTGATTTTATGCAATTTTCAGAATAAAATGATGAAACGGTAACAGTCGCCTACTAGAAGTAAATAAAAAAAATTCAAACGGCAAACCACGAAAATATTTTTTTTTGTTTTAACTTGCTTCCCACGCTACACATAGATACCATATAGCTACAACAACATGTATAAAATGAGGCTATCATAGATTCAGGTCCGCATTTGTCCCGGTTCCGTTTTTTGTCGGCTCTGCAACTGTCTGTATTTCGTTTTTTTTTCACTGTTGTCACTGAAAATGCTTTACAACAGTGGAATTGATGAAGCTAGGGGCTGCAGCCCTCCTGTCCTAAGGACGGCCCTGGCTGTCATATCCCAATCTGAAACGTAGGCGACAGTTGTACAATTTTAAACCGTAAAGTTTATCAACTCCGCTATAGAAATGTTTAATTTTTACACACAAAATTTTGAAAAGAAAGTTAAAACTAGTTATTATTAGGCGTAAAAATAGTTCTTTGTTTATTATTTATTAGTAGGAGTTGCAATGTTTAAATGGAACATATATTATTTGTGGTCAGATTGACTTGAAACTTGGTCTTAATGGTCTCTCATTTAATTTCTGAAAGATCTATCTCGACATTTTAAAAAATTCAACCTCCAAAGGGAGGGGGGGGTAAAAAGGTGTTGCAATTTTTGTTTGAGACATACTTTATTTGTGGTTGAATTTACTTGAAACTTGGTATATATGCTGTTTGATATTATTAATCAAATGAAAAGAGGTTGCAACGTTTCCATGGG